ACAGCTTCTGGTTTTCTTGCAAGTAAAGCAAGAGACGAGCGTGCTTTTGGGTTGTCTCTTGTGCAAGGCTTCTGAAATGTGGGACCATCTAGTTGAATGAGGTCTTGAACGGTAGCTGAAAAAGGGGAGAAATCGATTAAAACTTTACTAAAAATAGGGGGTTTGACAAAACCCTAACCCAAGACAAGCGAAAATGAGTTCAAAACAAAGAAAGAAATTTGGGGTTTTTAGGTGTGCACTGTTTGAAGAGGATATTAATTGGAAGCTGATGTGGCATGGTGGGACCCACCAATGCATAGCTGGGGAAAAAAATTAAAATAAAAAAAAAAAGGCCTAAACGTTTAACTATCTACGGATTAACGGTCAACAAACTCATCACCCCTAAAATGGATGGAGGGACAACATTGATGTATTTTTCAATAGTAGAGGGAGGACTAATGAAGGTAAATAATAGCAGAAGGAGGACGTAAGGTAAACTAATAGTAAAAGGTTTAAATTGGATTTTTTTAATAGTAGAGGGATGACAGTGGACATTAACCCTACAAATATACCGAAAACCAAAAGAACAACCCAAATCCAAATTCAAATTCCGCAACAATCACAGGCTAAAAAAATCAGCACAAATGTAACGATGTCCACAAGTAGGCGCAGGCTCCAGCGGCCTTTAAATTAAAGCATAATTCTCAACTTGTCACCCACTGTTTCCTGACTCCTCAGAACCCAGTAATCACAATTGGTTATAACCAAATCAAAGACCAGCCCCTCTGAAATTCAACCACAATCCTCAACCCACATGCTCGTGCTCTCACCATTCAAATCCTCCTCATACATAGAAACCACCCCTCTCTCAATTGAGCCACAACCCTCAGCCCGACGGATTCTCCCATCTCCTTTCCCACCTTCCTGAATACAAGCAGCTTTCCTCAAATTTATCCGCGACATATATATTGTACTTGCCCAATCAACTGCACTGCGCCAAACCTTCGATCTCCTTCCAAATCTCCTTCAAACGATTCTCAACTCAAAAACAAACGGCAGCACTAAAACATGCGAAAACCACAATCAGAGAACCGGTTGAAACAAATGGGTGTAAACAGGGGATCAACGGCAAGCCTCAAACAGAGAACCAACGGGCGGGCAAAGAACAGTCTAGAAACAATGGCAAAACAGTCTAGGAACAGGAAAGGAGAACACAAAACGGGTACGAAATACCTAAAAGAGGCAGATGAACAAGTAGACTATAAGGAGCAATTTCTCCAACAGAGACATCCCAGCGAGAGCATAAGATGCAAATAAACCCCTGTACGTACAATATTGTGGCATGTATGGCCCCGCACTCTGTTTGGTGGCAAAATACCCACTGTATTTAGAAATCAGTGGCAAATCAGCCCCTAAACCAACGGAACACGCTAAATTGCCGTTAAATAAAAAATAAAGAATAGCAGAATTAGTCCTCAAAATGCAATAGGACAATGGTTATACCCCAAGAAAGTCTTAATGGGAGACATTGCCACGTATATAAAAACAATACTAAATATTTGCCATAAAATTGAGCAAGTAGCTCAACCTGAAGAAAAAATTTTAGATGAAATCAAAGAAAATTGTTTAACTAAGCTAAGAAAGAGAATGAAAGAAGAAACCCAACAATACAACTATATAATTGATAGATTAGATTTAGAGTATAAAAAATTAAAAAATTAAAAAAATTGTTGATTTACTAAAATTAACATGAATAATGAACAAATAAGTTGGATTAACATGTATTTACTCAATATATTGGGTAGAAACATAATCTATATAGAGGTTATAATTATCATTAATAAGATTCTAGAAATAGAAACTATCAATAAAAATATTTAAAGAAATGGGAAAATCTCTTTTTTAAGAATTTGATTCCATCAAAGATAAGAGAGATGATGTTAAAAATTCTAAAGATTTAAAAGAAACAAAAGAAGAAATGCAGTCCATCAAAAACTCAAAAACTTTGATGTCTTGAGTTAGAGACATAGAAATCAAACTAGAAGAAATTCTTAAGATATTAAAAGCAATTGTAGGAAATTTTGCAATAAAAGCTTAAGATGCATAATAGAATAATCTTATGATTGAAAAATGATATAGATAAAAATTTCTATAGGATCCAAACTTAGCTTAAGAATCTACAAGATACTATAATATCAGTTTATGGTAGATAAACTATTGTATATAGAAATGAGGAATTTAAAATTATCCCAAAGACTTTCACAAGAAAAACCTTCAAAGTGAATAACACTTTTTATGTTAAAAACCCAAGAAGAAAAATTAAAGGAACTTGAACAAAGATTTCTAGAAGAAGATGTAGAAGAATTAAATAATCCGTGTAAACAAATTATAATAACTACTAGACAACTAGAAAACATGAAGATGAATACTCAAAGATGAGGAAAGGAGGAAATTGAAGAAGAAAGTGATGAAGAAAAAGATAAGACAACCTTACATAACTCCAACAAAATTTCCAATGCAACTTGGAATAGAATCTAGCATAAGCCAAAGCTACAGAAGAAATAGAAATATAACACATGAAGAGGTATATGATAGAAAGAATAAAAGGTTTGGGAATTAATCTAGACTTGAAATGGCAGTTAGAGTCAAAAAACAAATGATTAGTACCAACAACATTTAGCTAGATCTAGATTATGTTACAAATCCAGGAAAAGTCATTAGTGATTGAGCTCAAGCCACTTGAATTGCAATAAATAACAAAAATTGGAATGCTTTGCAAGCAGTAAGATTTATTGAAATCACCTTTAGAGGACTAGTTCATGACTGGTTTACTAGTCTAAGTGATGAAGAAAGTAACACTATCATAATTGGAAATCAACTAAAGAACAGAATAACTAGATTCAAGATAGAATAACTAGATTCGAATCAACTAAAGAACAGAATTTTTAGGAGAAAACTAGGAAGAAGCTAGAATTTGAAGAATAGAAGTATAGAATTTACAGAATTTATAATTATGTAATCTCTATGAGTTAGATCATGGTTAAATACCCAGTTTGGTCCCTCAACTTTCATTTTTTAACTAAATCTACCCTTGAACTTCAAAAAGTACTAAAAATATTCTTAAACTTCAATTTTTAGTACAATTTAATCCTTCTGTTAATTAAGTGCTGATGTGGCGAAATTCTTCATTAAGAAATTCAATTTCTATTAATATTGAGAATTATGTGGAAATAAAGTAGGTGATATGGCTTTTTTTA